GAAGAGGGATTCAAGGAGGAATGATTAGAGGTAAGTTCCTTGGCCTAAATTCACGAGATTATGTTAGATTTAACATGAAAATTGGTTGAAATTCATCAAAAAGGGGTAAAGCTAGGGCTTGAGTTTTTGATATTTCAAATTGGGATTTGATAGGTCATTTGAGCTCAGATTTGGGAGTTCTTGGTATGTATGGACTCGTGGCGAGACGAGGAATCCGGTAATTTGAGTTTTGTAATTTTTCGAGAAGTGGGCCCGGGGCTCGGGTTTTGCTAGTTTCGAGATTTTTGCTATATTTCGATTGTTTTCGATTGGGTATTGTTCCCTTGGCATATTGTGATGTATTCGCTCCGATTTTGGTTAGATACGATGCGCGTGGAGGCCGATTTGAGGGGCAAAGGCGTCGCGAGCTAGAGATTTCACCGATTCGAGGTGAGTAATACTTGTAAATGATATCCTGAGGGTTTGAAACCCTAGATTTGCACCCATAATGCTATATTGAGGTGACTTGCACGCCGGATAGAGAGCGTGGGGTAGAGCACCGTTGGGGATTGTGACTTGGTCCGTCCCGGTTGTCGATTTTACCGCGTATTTCACTATGACTTGTTGTTTTTCATTATGAATTGGGCTTATTGCCGTATTTGGGGCTTATTGCCGACTGTTTGAACTCCTGGTGAGCTATCATCACTGTTTTCCTCACTATTTGAAATACTATTTGAACTCAGTCCATTTGAATTACACTGTTTCATGAACTCAGCTATATTTTTACTCAACCTTGAGTTTTAACTGATAATTGAACTACTGTTTGAGCTGAGCATTTTTGTTTTACTGATGCCCGGGGGGCTTATGATTATTTTTGGACTGATTGAGGCCGAGGGCCACATGTGAGGATATGTTGAGTGATGTGAGGAGGCTTTCAGGCCTCGAGTGATATATAAGGAGGCTTTCAGGCCTCGAGCGATATGTGAGAAGGCTTTCAGGCCTCATGTTGATATGTACAGGCTTTCAGGCCTTATGATGATATAGCGCTTGGGCTGTAGGAGCCCCTCCGGAGTCTGCACACCCACAGTGGGCGCGGGTACCCATCTAGAGCGGTTAAATTTTAGACAGTGGTAACAATGACACTGTCATACGCGTTTTGGTCAGGTAACAACGACTGACCAGTCAGGTAACAATGACTGACCAGTGGTAACAATGGCACTGTAACATGCGTTTTAGTCAGGTAACAATGACTGACCGGTCACGTAACAATGGCTGACTAGTAACGAAAATCATGCCCGAGGGGCGAACTTTTATGTGCTCATCTTGTATACTTATTTGCATTTTTACCTGCTATACTATGGTATTTATGCCCGAGGGGCGGATTTTTCTGTGCTAATCAGCACTAACTATTTGAAACAATTTTTTGTAACTATTGAAAAGACCATTTTCAAAAGAGATCTGAACTGAGCCGAAACAATTCTAAAGAGTTCTCTGATTTCACTGTTTTTCTCGGAAATTGTACCCGGCTTCTGTATAGCTTGTTGGTTGCTTTACGTGATTTCTTGCTGCTCAGTTATTATTTAATTTTATTGCTCACTGAGTTGGAGTACTCACTTTACTCCTTGCACCTCGTGTGCAGATGCAGGTATTATTCACCCGGTAGCGGGTTTTGGTAGCAGGTTGAAGGTATTGTTATCGTAGCTGGGCAAGGTGACCGCCAGCGTTCGCGGCGCCGGACTTCTTCTTGGATTCTGAATTCTTAATTCATGTATTACAGATCTTGTAGTCGTATTTGAAATCCTTCTAGATGCTCGTGACTTGTGACACCCCGGTCGGGTTGTGTTGGGTTGTAATTAACAGTTTTTAATGCCATTAAGTCGTATTTTCTATTCATTCATGTTTAATAATTGTTAAAGAGACGAATTGGGATAATTGGCTGGCCTTGTCTTCACGAGAGGCGCCATCACGACCGAGTTTGGAAATTGGGTCGTGACAATAACATGCTTCTACAACTTTGGATACAAGAACATCTTTGTCACTGTCCAGGGTACATGAACTATGGTATGAGTGGTCTAAAATGCATTGAGGAACATTGAAACCGGTTAGAGGGTCATGAATTTCAAGAGGGTACGGAGGCCTGGTTCGCACATTTGAGCTCCTTAACTTGAAACAAAATTGAGTGGACATTCGGTTGGCTCCCGGTCACTGAAGTCATTTACATGTCAACCGAGGTGTGTTATCTTCTCTTAATGAGCCTCCAGAGCATTCAGTTATATGCTCCACACAGGGTGCTACGCCAGCTGGGCAGGTACCAAACTATCCCACATGATGAAGATCTGAGCCGACAAGTCATCAAATTGGGTCCAAATGTTGTGTTCCCAGAAGCAAAAGTTCGTCAGATTTGGAATTACTGTAGGTTTCTAGAGCCAAAGACTCGGGTAAGGGATCTATCCAAAGGCGAGCTAGAGCCTAGTTACACGACATGGTTTGGTAAAAGGTTTCAATTCCATCACGAGCCCGAACGGCCTGCTAAAAGACCCTATATCCAGCAATTCACTAATAAGTCACGGGAGCAATGGGACTGGTTGGCAAAAAATATAAACTACAGAGCCACAATAAGCAAATTGGAGGGACAGATCTGAGATGTTAAATTTGACAATAGTGTACAAGCTGCTGTTGATGAAGGGGAAAAGAAGAAATTGGATCAAGAAAACAAAGCCCTTCAAGCCTAGATCCAAAAAATAAAGATAGCTGCTAAGAATCAGGAAAGGAGTCGAGCGGATGAAAGACTCATAACTGGTCTTAGAAGGAAAATATCTAAGTACAAGGATGACTTGGAAAAATCCGAGGGCAACCTGGCAAGAGCCCGGGCACAGTTGACAAAGTCCACCGAGGGACGGGCAGAGTTTGTACGGTAATTGAAAAGGAAATATGAGGGAACAGTCACAAACTTGAAGGAAAGGCTAACTTCCCTCGAAAATGAGATGGCCAAACAAGCTAGGAACTTTAAGGCGGAAAGGGAACATTGTTGTGCATTAATGTCCCAGCTAGAGGAAGATATACAAGAGTTGCAGGGTCAGAACCATCATGATGCCCGAGTGGTAGAAGCAAGGTCTCTACAAATCAAGCGTTTGCTCCAAGAAAAGGGTATCATCTGGGAAAGAATTAGAGCAGTTGCTGACTACATTGTCACAAAGTGCCATGAATGTGACGACATGACTCAAACCACCTTTTTTCTCCGCAGTGATGACCTTTGTTTGACAAATCATGAATGACATGGATCATCTTCAAGGAGACCTTGCACACAAGCCTGTAGCGAGACCGACTGATGTCCCGCGGGCCCCTGGATCAACTTTAGAAGTACTTATGTACTCTTGATTTTTGTTTTGAGTCTGTATTTCAGTTTCTAGTTTTAAAGTCTGTTTTGAGTCTGTTTTTAGTTTTTAAATTCCTAGAAAAGTAGGATGGAGTCTTTTGTAACAGAGAAAAGTAGAAGTTTTTATTAATGAAAATTTAGAAAACCCAAAAATTATTTCTTTATTTTTCGCATTTATTCCTTGAACTACGTGATGATTTGATTCATACGGTGTCGTGATATGTAGGCAATCCTAATAAGATCTGGTTATGATTTTTAAATAATTCGAATAAAAGGAAAAGAAAGAAAACTAGAAAAAAGAGACAAAACAAGAAAAAAAGAGAAAGACAAGAGTAAGGGGGGAAAATGACGACAAAATGCAAAAGAGAGCAAAAGATGAAAATAGCCAAAAGAAAGGAGAGGTTTGGGGAGATAAACAAAAGCCGGGATGAAACACACAACCATTGCAAAAAATGTAGAAACACATTTAAATTTATAGGTGCATCACACCCCAACGTGCGATTTCCTATGTGTTAATTATCTCAAACTAACTAGTTTGTTGTGTTTGTTATTAAGTCAGGTTTTGTATTAAGGTGGTTGGTTTTGTGGTAATCTAGTTTCACATCCTTACTTCACAATATCAAAGGGAAGCATTGAAATATCGTTAGAGGGTCATCTGCCAATAGTTCCTATCCCAGAGGATAGCCCGATCTCGGCCGTCCCAACATCAGAGTCAGCAGCTGCTGAGGAAAACAGGGTTTTGCGTCTCCTCATGTTGGAAATGTGGGACGCCCGGTCCAGTGGTAGAGAGCCACCAAGTACGATACCTGGTTTCCCTGAGCTACTTCCTAGGGCAAGTGGAACTTCCAACGTCCCAATAAATCACCCAAACACTCCTCTTGCATATCCTACCATTTCAGCTCATTTTGCCGGAACACCTTGTGAGGTTCGCCCCCACGTATTAATTTTGGGTGTGGCCTCCAACATATTCACTGCACCACCCTCCTCTACCACGGCACAACCCACTTTGCCCAGTCCAAACTTTGATCCATCATCTTTCACTTTTCAAGTACCATCTTTTCCACCAGAAATGGCCCATTTCACTACCAATTCCTACCCCCAACAGCCCCGGTATGAGTTTACGGTGGGACAGGATAAAGCTACAAAGAACCCCGAGAAGGAATAAATCACTTCGAAAATGAGGAGCATGGAACAGAGCCTTAAAAATATACAAGGCTTAAGTGGTCAAAATAGTATATCCTGTGCTGATTTGTGTATGTTCCCACATTTCTACCTACCCTTGGGCTTTAAAACTCCTAAGTTCGAAAAGTACAATGGGCGTGGGGATCCTATAGCCCACCTCAATAGGTACTGCAATCAACTGAGAGGGGCAGGAGGAAAAGAGGAGCTTCTCATGGCTTATCTTGGAGAAAGTCTATTGGGCATTGCATCCGGGTGGTACATGGATCAGGATATATCCAGTTGGACCTTTTGGGATGATCTAGCTCGGAATTTTGTCAGGCAGTTTTAGTATAATATAGACATAGCTCCCGACAAGAATTCTCTATCGAATCTCAAGAAGAAGTCATCGGATAGTTTCCGGGAATATGTTGTTAAATAGCGCAAACAAGCAGCCAGGGTCGAGCCCCCGATGGATGAAACAGAAATGGTGAGTGTTTTTCTACAAGCCCAGGAGGTTGACTACTTTCAGAATATGATGTCTGCAATGGGGAAACCGTTTGCTGAGGCCATCAAGATTGGTGAAATGGTCGAGAACGGTCTGAAAACAGGGCGCACATTGAGCCAGTCTACCATAAGAGCTACATCCCAAGAAATTCAAAGCGGGTCTGGAGGTGTTGCGAACAGAAAGAAAAAGGAAGAAGTGGCAATGGCGGCTTCAGGTCCAAGAAACCCCCGTCCACCCAGAAGTTATTTCTCTCCACGTACCCCACAGCATTATTATCCCCACCAGGATGTGGCTTATGCTATGGCCCCCCAACCGTACGCAGTGATGAACGCCCAGCCATGCACTAGGCCACAACAACAGTTTAACCAAAACAGAGCTCCACCTCCTAGAAATAACCCTCCCTACCAAGCTCAGTATAATCCCCGACCTCCACAGAATAATTTCCCTTACAATGCCCGTGCTCAGGAACCACCCAAAAGAACAAAATTCATGCATATTGGTGAACCATACTCTAGCCTTTTCCCTAAACTTGTACAAATAGGTTTGCTACAACCCGTACCCCCGAACAGACAAAATCCAGAATAACCTTCCTACCGAGCTTGTACCCGATGTGCCTATCATTCTGGGTTGGAAGGAGATGACACTGAAGACTGTTGGGCTCTGAAAAGGGCGGTGGAAAATCTCATAGAGCAAAAATAGATAGTGCTGAAGGATGAAGAAATTCCTAATGTGACCAACAACCTATTATCGGCTTACAACAATGGGCCCGTTATTGGGATTATTTGCGAAGATAAGGAGTTTGATCCCGCCTTGAAAACTTTCATTGCCATCGCTAATGTCGAAAAGAAACCAAAGGCTGCTCCAAAGCAAGACAATGGGGAGAATAAGAGTAAACCCACCCGTCAAAGTGCAGAAAATACAATGGAAACCAAAACTGGGGCAGTACCCCCAAACTATGCCATTCTTTATGTTCCCCGGGGTCACAGGAAAGAACAAATGACATTGAGCCCTCCAAGAAGATTCGAGCTGAACAAGGGACCTAAGATGTACATGCCTAAAGGGACCTATGTGGTACGGGGGCCAGTAATTTTACCAAGGTTGAATGAGCCCGTGGTTATTGGCTGCGCACCGCAGAAGCCCATGACAGACCCCACTGCTGTCCCATGGAGTTACAACAAGGCGGCAGTGACATACAAGGGAAAAGCCATCCTAGGGGAAGCAAATGAAACTAACCTAGCTGAGAAATACCTTAACCATGAGGATTTGAACAAAGCCAAGAAGAAGTGTTTCGCACTCAAGAAGCCCGTCAGTGCTGAGGAGGCCGAAGAATTCTTCTGTAAAATGAAAACTGCAGACTACGAGGTTATAGACCATCTCGGGAAATCTCCTTCACAGGTCTCACTCCTGTCCCTACTGTTGAGCTCAACCGAGCATCCAAAAGTGTTGATAAATACCCTCAATGAAGCTTACGTTCCGATTGAAACCATCGTTGAACAACTGGAAAGGATGGCAGAAAGATTCTTCGCAATCAACCAGATCTCCTTTAGTAAGAATGATTTGCCCCCGGAAGGGGCCAGTCACAACAGATCCCTTCATTTGATAGTAAAATGTGAGGGGTACTATGTGAAAAGAGTCATGCTGGATGGCGGGTCCGGAGTTGATATCTGCCCTCTCTCAACTTCGCAAAGAATGGAGATCGGGACTGAGAGAATAAGGCCTAACAATGTCTGTGTGCGTGGCTTTTATGGTATCAAGAGAGACACCATAGACGAGATCGACTTGATTTTGACTATTGGTCTTGATTTCGAGGTGACATTTCAGGTCCTGGACATGGACACTTCTTATAATTTCCTCTTGGGAAGGCCTTAGATTCACTCGGCAGGGGCCGTACCTTCCACTCTCCACCAAACGGTGAAGTTTGGAATATGAAGATCACGAGATCGTGGTCCACGGAGAGGACGAGCAATCAATTTATCGGGACCCATCAGTCCCATGTCTTGAAGCTAGGGAAGGTAGCGAACATATAGTCTTCAGGCTTTCGAGGCTGTGGTCACAGACTAATATGAAGAAGGAAGCCCGTATCCTCAACCTTTTCTTTCAAAATGCATCAATTATGGTTGTCAAGGAAATGATCAGGCATGGTTATAAGCTCGGGAAGGGGCTTGGGACATCATTGCAAGGTATCACAGAACCTATCACTATGACTGCGTGTGAGAAGTTCTTTGTTGTGGGTTTTCAGGCCACGCCAGTTGATGAAACTTGGGCAGATGAGCGGAAGAACAATGGTTGGGTCTTGCCTCAGCTAATCTCGCATCTGTTCGAAACATTCGTTAAGCCCAAGTACACAGAAGAGGAAGATGAGGCCTTCACGGCCGAGGAGATTGAAGAAATATGTGGAGCTATGAGATAGATGTTGTATGAAACACACATGGTTCAATCGGGAGAAGGCTCGAGCACCGCTGACGTGCTGTAGATGGGGCCCAATGCCAAGTTGCAAAACTGGAAGGCTACTCCATTCCCAGTCATGTGGGAATCCCGGTAGTCCAATCTTTCAACCTTTTCTACAACAAGAGTTAATCCAAGGTGTAACTCAGATGTTTCCTTTAGTTTACTATCTTTAAATTCTAATGTAAACCCTGTTATCTTCAAATTCAATGAAATGAAATCAATATTTTATCGTTCAAGAATCTCTCTCTCTCTCTCTATTCTTTCTGATTTTTTGTTACTTTTTCTTATTTCTTCTTTCAGTTCTAATAATGCGGCTTTAAATAACATGATATGCTTGCAGACTTCATGCCCAAATCCAAAACAGTCTAAAATTGTAAAATAATGAATCAAGAACCGGAATACGATGAAGAAGAGGCTTTTAGGGAGATAAATCGAGAATTGGAACAATTTGAGAATAAGCCTAAGCCAAATCTAAATGAGACCGAGCCAGTAAATTTGGGTAGTTTAGAAGAGGTCCAAGAAACCATGATAAGCATTTACACATACGAAAGAAGTAGGGATGCACTGATCCATCTTTTGTTTAAATTCAAAAATGTGTTTGCTTGGTCCTGTGATGATATGCCAGGATTAAGTGTTGATCTAGTGGTGCACAAATTGCCAACTTACCCCGATTGTCCCACTGTCCAGCAAAAACAAAGAAAGTTCAAAATTGACATTGTGACAAGATCAAAGAAGAGGTCACCAAGCAGTTGAAAGCGGGTGTGATCAGAGTGGTCTAATACACCACATGGTTGGCTAATGTAGTCTCTGTGCCAAATAAAGACGGGAAAACCCGAGTGTGTTTTGACTATCGGGATTTGAACAAAGCAAGTCCCAAGGACAACTTTCCTCTACCAAACATCTACATCCTCGTTGACAACTGTGCCAAACATGAGATACAGTCTTTCGTGGATTGTTATCCTGGATATCATCAGGCCTTGATGGATGAAGAAGACGCAGAAAAGACAGCCTTCACCATTCCCTAGGGCACCTATTGCTATAGTTTCATTCCTTTTGGTCTAAAGAACGCCGGTGCAATATACATGAGAGCTATGACTACCATTTTACATGATATGATGCACCAAGAGATCGAGGTATATGTGGACGGTGTGATCATTAAGTCCAAAACACAGGATGACCATGTTCGGGACCTGAGAAAGTTCTTTGAGCATCTGTGCAAGTAAGATTTGAAGCTAAACCCGGCAAAATGTGCATTATGAGTTCCGTATGGGAAACTTTTTGGATTTATAGTCAGTCAGAGGGGCATTGAGCTAGATCCAACGAAGCTAAAGTCTATTCGGGATTTACCTCCTCCAAGAACCAAGAAAGAGGTTATGAGTTTGTTGGGAAGGTTGAATTATATCAGCCAGTTCATTGCTTAGTTGACTTCCACCTGTGAGCCCATATTCAAGCTGTTGAAGAAAGATGCAGCGATTAAATGGACGGATGAGTGTCAAGAAGCCGTCGACAAAATCAAAGAATATCTGTCGAACCTGCCAGTCTTGGTCCCACCCGAACCTAGGAGGCCTTTGTTTTTGTACCTGACAGTCTTGGAGAATTCCTTCGATTCTGTCCTCGGGCAACATGATGTGACCGGGAAGAAAGATCAGGCAATCTACTATTTGAGTAAGAAGTTCACTAGTTACGAAGCCAAATACACCCTGTTGGAAAGAACTTGCTGCGAGCTAACTTGGGTCGCTCACAAGCTTAGGAATTACCTGTTGGCCTACAACCCTTACCTCATCACCAGATTAGATCCTTTAAAGTACATATTCCAGAAGCCGATGCCTACAGGAAGGTTGTCAAAATGGCAGATCCTGCTCACCGAGTTTTACATATTCTATGTCACTCGCGCGGCAATGAAAGCTCAAGCTCTAGCAGTTTACCAAGCTGAAAATTATGTTGACGATGAGTATCAGCCTTTGAGTACTTACTTTCCAGATGAGGAAGTGAATTCAGCAGAGGTAATTCCAGAAGACGCCAATGCTTGGAAAATTTTCTTCGATAGAGCGGTGAACGCAAAAGGTGTCGGGATTGGGGAAATTTTGATCTCACCCACTGGTCAGCACTATCTAGCCACAGCGCGACTTCATTTTTCTGCACAAACAACACCGCCGAGTATGAAGCCTGCATTATGGGCATGAATATGGCAATTGCTCAAGATGTGAAAGAATTGGTAATCATGGGAGATTCAGATCTGATTATCCGACAGGCTCAGGGAGAATGGGAAACTCGAGATGTCAAACTTATACCATACAGGCAACATGTGGAAGATCTTAGCAAACTGTTCAAATTCGTCGAGTTCAGGTATGTCCCTCAGTTTCACAATGAGTTAGCCGATGCACCCGCTACTCTAGCCTCGATGTTGCGGTATCCAGGCAATCTCCACATTGACCCATTGGAAATTCAAATCAGAGAAAGGCATGGTTAATGAAATACGGTTGAGGTGGAGCCAAGTTTTTAGCCATGGTACCATGATATCAAGATGTTTTTGAAAACAAAGGAATATCCCGAGCAAGGCAGTGGAGATCAAAAGAGAACCATTAGAAGGCTTGCCGGTGGCTTCTTCTTGAGCGGAGAAGTTTGTACAAAAGGACTCTAGATTTGAAGCTTTTGAGATGTATGGATGCCCAAGAGGCCGGAAAAATCATGAATGAAGTACACTGAGGAGTATGCGGACCTCATATGAATGGATATGTCCTTGCAAAGAAAATCCTTCGAGCAAGGTATTACTGGATCACCATGGAAAAGGATTGCTTCAGCTTCGTCCGAAAATGCCATGAGCGTCAAGTACTCGGTGATCTGATTCATGCGCCTCCCTCAGAACTTCATCCTATGTCGGCACCATGGTAGTTCGTTGCTTGGGGTATGGACGTCATTGGGCCGATCGAGCCAAAAGCTTCAAATGGGCATAGATTCATATTGGTTGCCATCGACTATTTCACAAAGTGGGTTGAAGCAATTACTCTTAATACTGTCACTAAGAAAGCAGTGGTAGAATTCGTCCACTCCAACATCATTTGCTGTTTTGGCATCCCTACAACTATTATTACGGACAATGCTGCAAACTTGAATAGTCATTTGATTAGGGAGATATGCGAACAATTCAAGATCACGCATGGGAAATCTACCCCTTATCGGCCCAAAGCTAATGGTGTCGTTGAAGCAGCAAACAAGAACATCAAGAAGATTCTTAGAAAGATGATCCAGAGTTCTATACAATGGCATGAAAAGTTGCCGTTTGCATTATTGGGATATCGCACAACTGTACGCACATCGATTGGAGCAACACCCTATCTTTTGGTTTATGGCACTGAAATCCCTTCCCTCCGAATCATTCTTGAAGCTGAAATTGAGGATAGTGAGTGGGTCAAAACCCGTCTAGAATAGTTAACCCTGATTGATGAAAAACGAATGGCAGCAGTTTGCTACGGGTAATTGTATCAACAAAGAATGGCTCGTGCCTACATTAAGAAAGTACGGCCTAGGAACTTTGAAGTGGGGCAACACATTTTGAGGCGTATTCTCCCTCACCACCAATAAGCAAAAGGAAAGTTCTCTCCAAACTGAAAAGGTTCGTACATTATAAGAAAACTATTGCCAAAACTCGCATTGTACTTGGGAGACATTGAAGGGAATGATCCCGAAACAGCTGTGAATACAGACGCAGTCAAAAGGTATTACGTTTAAATCTTTCTGCGGCACCAATATTATCTGATTGGGATGACGAAGGCTTTCACTCTCGCTACCCCAAACACTTCTACCCTTTGTTAACCCTTTGAGCCCGTTACTCTTCTTTGATTACCCTCTTTGGAACCCGAAAACGTTTGTAAAAAAAATATCAATCAAAAACCAAGAAATCAAAAATCAAAAACAAGTACCCTGAACTATGTTCAACTTGATTCTGGAAGGATATGTAGGCGGCCTCTCTCTGGGTTCAATCACACCAAAACAAAAATCCAAATTTCCCCAAAAGTGAAACTGGGGCTAATGTTATGATGGTTCGGCGATGATCCCGCCTGAATGATTCCAAAGTTGTAATTCAATCCAAATTATTTTTACCCCAAATAATGTTCAAGTCCTTCTGATCAATCAATGAGAACTTTCATGAATCGGAGAATGCGTCTGCTTGGAGCTGATGCAACAATATAAGAGAAATAAAATGAGAGAGTCTTATTGGTGAAAACTCACATGGGCACTGTAAAGCGATGGTGAGTAGAGAAACTAAAAATGAGAAAATCTTGTTAGTGAAAACTCGCAAAGAGCACTATAAGGCGATGGTAAGAAGAGAAATGAGAGAGCTCAATTGGCGAAAACACGCAAAGGGCGTCGTTGATCGAGAATAAGGAATTCCTTACAACCATTGGCACTGAAAGAGTCCT